CACGGGATACAATGCTGATGTACGTCGTTCCCCAAGTTCTTGTATAACACTCATTGATTTAATGTCAAAGTTGGATATTACCTGGGTCGGTGACGATATCACGGACGGAGTCATCGGAACTATTACTGTTGGTCTCAACATGTACGTAGCTCCTCCTAGCACATCCATCATGGTCGCTTCGGGGTACTGATCCTTTCAACCTTCAGGTCCTACACGAGCATGGAGCTCAGCACTCAGATCGCCGCCTTTGATGTCGAGGAATATGAAGCTGAAGGGCTTATTCCATCCACCTCCGAGTCCGAGCCTGAGTCCGAGCCTGAGCCTGAGCCATCGGAGTCGTTATATCTGTGTAGCTGTAAAACCTTCAAGGAGTGAAACTCAGCCTTCACTTTAGTTCATGATTGGATATGTGTGTTATGTTCTCTTAGGGTTTGTACTTACGTAGGACAACCGCAGGTTCAATAAGACGCTAGACATTAGGCTTTGTAGAGTCATAGTACGATACTTCAATACTTATAACAAACGGTACCAGTACTATATGATGCAGTATTCATGCAGAAACTATCATCGGAAGCGACAGGCGTAAGTCTGTTGGCTTTGAATGAAGACAATAATGCATCATTGCATCCCGCTCAGATAGGCAGCAGCAGCCTGGGCTCGCACGCTTTAACCTCTATGAAATATATAAGATTTCGGCACATACAGCAATATACATTGCGAGTGACAAGAAGTGTTCCGCCCTCTAATCTGCTGGAACGTCTTTGAAGGATGCAGCAGATTATGAGAAGAATTATGAAGACTACTATACACCGATCACGAGTCCATAATTGTGGGAATAATCATCATCCACCGTCATCGTATAACCTCCTCTGGATTATGAACGATTACCGGGATGATTATGACTTCCTCGAAAAAACAGGTCGACGGGTCACCGGCTTTGTTATTGCCCAAAGGAGATCCTGTTAACCTGGAGCAAAAAACTTAGCATGGGAAGTAATACGAGAGAGTGTCGCGGACATCAAGGTCAGTTGACTAGGAAAGATGCTACGATGCTAGCATACTACCTCAGAGGAACATGGATAATTCCGTGGCGGAGACAGTAGACGGGATATTTCCCAGGAGGACGCCAGTGGGGCCAGTGGAGAGGCAGTGGAGAGTAATGTCCACCGTCACCGTCACCGGGTTGCCCTGAGGTTTACCGGATTGCCGGGTCGGGTCAGCATGTGCAGGGGTATACCCGGCTGACCCGTTCCATTAGCATATATACTTTATTTTTCTACAGTGCTATATCGGCAGTTTTTTTAGAACCAGTCAGTTCGAATTTTAATCACTGGCTGACCATGGATCATCGATTCATCCCTAGTTTGGGCATGGACTTTGAAGTGAGACTCGTAATTTTTCTCTATTTAATAATATCATAATAATATTTCTGACTTTGAATGCCATGAACCGGCATCCCGGCTAAACGCCTCACCCGCGAAACACTGCGGGCACAGCCGCGCCGATGTTTTAGGCGAGTCAAAGCAGAATCAAAAATGCCTCATCCAAGCCTCATCTCCTTACCAGAGCTATTTTCACTCGCCTAAAATAGTCCCCACCCAGCAATGGGGAACCCGGGGTACTGTAGGTTGGGGCGGTTACGGTTTTGCACTGGACCTTCCATTGATACAGTAACGAAAGCCAAAATTTCAACCCAAACAGCACATGACGGACGTCGACGCGCCGTGCATCCTTGTCTTCGCGTTTTTTCAATCGAACTTTACTTCACCTGAACATATTACATAAGTATCTATGATTGCACTTCGTAAATAATGTACATGCAGTATTATTCATTCACGGTCATATGACAGTTAATTTAGCTGGACCAACATTCGAAAATACCTCCCACGATGGTCGGTAACTTAACGGTCCGAAACCCCGGTGTAGCAGGACTATGGTTTCGTGCGCAACTCTACGGTACGGGTTCACTCAATGCTCACTTCCTGAACCCGGGGGTTTTATTCACCATCTGGTATACATCGTTTTCCGCGGCTTTGTTCGGGCTCATGGTGGCTAAAAAGTCGAGAAATCTTCCTTTGTGTTCCAGCAAAGCGATGGCGAACTTCCCCACCACCACTTACACTGATTGGGCTCGTTCAGACCAATACCATAGGTCTTTCCTTATGCCTAAGGACGACGTTCTCCATGCTGCTCTCCAGAACAGCGACGCTCATGGATTACGGACAGAGATATCCGTCAGCGCTGCACTGGGCAAGTTTCTCAACTTACTTGCTAGATCTATTGGTGCAAAGAAAATCCTTGAGATAGGGACACTTGCAGGGTAAGTACCGACGTACTTGTGTCACTGCTGACCTGCATTTTTAACGGCTAATTGTAGATACTCGACTATATCTCTGGCAAGAGCACTCCCCAAGGACGGAAAGGTTATCTCTCTCGAACTCAACGAGCTCAACGCCAAGGTAATATCAGGCGGTCACTATCTCGAGTTCAAAGTCTTATTTCAGCCCAGGTCGCCTCGGAAAATATTGGGCTCGCTGGGTTGACTTCTCAAGTTGAGATTATCATCGGACCTGCACTCGAAACCCTCGCGAAGTTTCCAACCGAACATAAATTTGACCTGATATTCGTCGACGCAGATAAGCCTCCAATGACTGAGTATTTCGCGGAGGCGAAACGGTTGATCAAACAAGGAGGGGTTATTGTGAGTATATCGCTAGGTTGTTGTCCAATGTACCTGATACATGTTATGCGTAGATCCTCGATAATGTCGTTCTGAATGGCGATGTCGCCAAAGAACAGCTTCCAGATACACTCTCCGATTATGATAAAGGGAAAGTTAAGGGTATTAAGAGACTGCTTAATGCAATTAAAGGAGACAAAGAAGTAGAGGCTACGACTATCTGTACTGCTGACGAGAAGGGTTATGATGGTTTCATGTATGTCGTTCGAAAGTGACTGGGCTAGCACTTGTATTTTTCAATTGGGCTCGTTAAGTACTGATGCTTGTGTCAGTCTGTGAATAAATTGAAAAAAAAATTGTGTGGGAAAAAGACATTGAACAGGCGACAACTACCCCTCTGCGTAGACATAGATATCGATCTTGGAGGCATACAAGGCATTTGCGTCGACATGAAGGCCGCTCGTAACAACAGCCTTATTCCTCAACCGGCAAGTTGCGGAGAAGATATTACCTGATTCAAGGGGCGATGACAAGGATTGGGATCCTTCGATGAATTGAAATTGAGCTCTCCTACATAATGACATTCTGACGCTGGTCTAGCGCAACGGATATTACTTCTATCGGTTAAGTAATGAGTTTGATTTCCCCGAATATCACGGAGCCAGTGGGACCATCGGCCCAACGATGATTGGTCTCATTGGGGCCGACCGGCAATGTGCCTCTGGAGAATGTGGGATAGGTCGCGATGGGCATGGGGGGCATGGGGGGTTAATATAGGCAGGCATAGGTCGCATCGTGAATGAACCATGTAGTGAGAGGTCGGCAGTCAGCGTGAGGGATTACGCGTGGAATGGTCGCTATCCGGGGTTCTTGGGGGCCGCCTGATAACTAAAACCATCTAAAAAGCATAGGTAACTTGATGGGAAGGTATCATTGAGGCCTCATTTCTTGAAAATTTCCCGACCATGTTTGGCGGGAGTTTCTGGAGGCTTCTGCGAAGTCGCTCATAAAAGGAGGACGACTCTCGCTACTCGGAGCTCAGGAAGCCTTTTGGAAATATGTTAAATACAACCGGAGGATGAATGGGTCAGAAAACGAAGGGCGCGAATGTGACAGCATGAAACTAAAGTGACAGGAAAGTTAGGCGTAGTCTATGTTTAACGCGGGAAGGAACTTAACTTCGAGTTGTGTTAACGACCAATCTACGGCTTGCATCCCAAGTTCCAAGTGGATTAGCCTTCTGAGTCAGAAGAGTCACGCCGAGCCGCGAAACAGCAAAGATTTGGATCCCAGCAAGGTAACTCGTTTTTTTCGAACTACCCACAATGCCTTGTGTATGGCCATATCCAAAATGCGTTCAAGTCGTTTCCTGGTAGAAACGCACTGGAATGGCACTTGAAAGGCAGTTCCCGAGACCTACAAAGGACATTGGTGGTTAATCTATCAAGGAGTAAGCATCTTTCCGGTGTCTCTCTAGATATTGACCCGCGATCATTAGGAAGCCTTATGGACTTTTAACAAACCGTGTCCTATGTTCCGGACCTGTGTGTGTGGGATCCACAAGTGCTACCGGCCGAACGCGATGTCTACCGAGGTGAACGAAATCCAGGAAGATCAGAGGCCGGGATTCACAAACACAGCGTCAAGATTTGGGAGCGTTCATTTCATTAATCCACTGTCTTGGCACGACTAAGTACGCCCGTGCGATAGGGTAAGTCGCCGCCGAGAAAGAGAAAGACAACGCAGCAGAAAGGTGTGCGCTCGGGCGGTGAAAGGGGCGACGATGCGTTCCGACGATAAAATCCCCGGTCTATGAGCAAGAGGTGACGAATAATGAGCAGCACAACATTACAGCATAGATGATGCTGATCGGGCTGGAGAATTGCTAGCTAATTAGAGCCTTATGATAAGCGGTGAGCATGATGATGGAGAAGAAGAGAATGTATTTGACATTTGTCTTGCATTTTTGTCTTGACTGCTGGAAAACGTAGAAAGTTGACGCACATTTCCCAAGTATCAATGTTCTCGCCGCCTTCGATGAAATACACCTGTCTCCAAAACAGCTTGCCGTCGCCGAGCAAATTTTCAATATGCCAGCTTCAGCCTTCCTCATCCATTCTAATATCGCGTTCCGGTCCAGTACCGGCCTGTGAACATGTCTTCAGGATCTGCCTGCCTCAAATCGGCGGCGAGTTACGCAGAGGTGAGAGTATAGTGGATAGAATTGCAGTATCATTGTACCAAAAAGAGTTTATAGCGGACCAGGCCCGGCGGAGGGCTTTTTAATTTAATTAATGTTCTAGCGAAGCCTGAGATTGTTGCATTAATGAGGTAGTGGTAACCTGGGTCGTTGCCATTCAATAGTTGTCGACCCGCCGGGGGTTCAATTCCCCCTTAATGCACTGTGCAGACAGTAAAGCTTTTCCTGCTGGTTATGGTGAATGTTCATTCCTCCTTGCTAACTTCTAAGTCGAGACTCGAGACTCGACTCCATTGAGGTTGGAACTATTCAACATTGTTCAAACCGAAAATTGAAAGTTGAAGCTGACTTACTTTCCTGTTTCGACTCCGCGGGTGGCGGCGCCTTGTTGTATAGCAATAGCAAAGAACGTAGACCACACAGTTTTTTCAACTCACAATTTCATTACTGTCAGCAGGCTCTCGCATCTACCGAGTACGTATCGACAGCGACTCGTTATTTTGTCTCTTGGAAACTCGCAAGTCTCTCGGACATCCAACGACACCTTACATGCAGGATTATTCCAATTGCCTGATAGCTTAGAGCGTCTATCGTATATTTACATCCCTACTATATGAAAAAACAACACAAAAAACTACAATTAAACACTAGATGATTCCACAAAAGAGATCTAAGAGCAGACGCAACAGCACGATATTAGGATGGTATTATGTTAGTGGTATACGCAGGTGGGGTCGTTATCCAACTCTCTGAGCGCGCCTGCCTTGCACTCGACCGTTTTCGAGGATCGACGCACACAATTGACCGTAAGAATGCACAGAAATGGTCACGTTCACGGTTTTCTGACGATGGCAATTTCCATACGCCTTTAACAATCGCCTCCAAAGAAGTCATTTGTAGCGGAAAGGGACATCGGAAGGTTCCTGGAAGGTACACCATACTAAGTAAAGTGCGACTGGCCGTCGGAGAAATAGCTCACCATCTGCATCATAGAACTCTGCACTTCGTCCCTTAATTCCGGGATCCTTCATCCATTGCGGAACCTCCCCAACCTCCTCGATAATCTGCAGCAGGTGTATCTGAGCGGGGGTCATAGCCTCGTAGTCTGGCGTGGGTTGGAAGAATGGGTCAAAAAGTGGTCCACCTGTGGCAAACTCGTACACCAAGCAACCTAAATTCCAGATGTCGATCTTCTCATCCCAATTCAGACCCAAAATAACTTCGGGTGCGCGAAGGGCATGTGGCTGAACGTTCGATGAAGGGTGGCGTTTGTGAGGAAGCTGGACGGCGTGGCCTAGGTCTGCTAGGACGAATCTCCACTCTGATTGGTCGAGAGAGAGGGCATTGGGTAGGGACAGGAGGATATTTCGAGGCTGGACGTCGGTGTGAATGAGATGTTGGGAATGAAGAAAGTCGAGTGCGGCCAAGACGTCCGGTTGTGATCCGTCTCACGATGGGTAACGGTAACCAGCGACTGCCAAGGTGCTGTCTGAGATCGCTGAGAGTTGGGCCGTGAAGGGACAGTACAAGACATGTCGACGGAAATGGGGCGGGTACGGGGCGAACAGGGAGTGTTTCAGGTAAAGAGACTCGCCTGCTCCGTTGTCGCTCACCAAAAGTGAAATGGTCGAGCAGTCTGACGAGCTGGTCCGGTGGGTGATCCAGTCGCAGATGCTTCGACAGTTCGCGAGTCCGTTCACCAGCTGTCGTGAGGACCTTGATGGCGACCAGATTCGATGCAGGCGGTGAGAGGTATGTCAAGGCTGTATGGAAGGAGGCGCCGTCGTCAACATCGGCAGCGTCCTCTTTATCCGTCTGTGCCAACCAGACGGTCGAGAACCCTCCGTGCCCCAGGGGCCGTACCAACGTGTACTCTGACCCACGGCCCAGCACAGTCCCAGGCGATAATTCCGGTGCCTGCGTAGGCGAAGCTGGCTTGGGTGGGCATGTCCTTGAGGGCGACTTTTGCTTCGAAGAATGAGAGAGATTGAAACGAATGGCGAATTTGAACTTGAGGGCCGGTGTGGTGAAGAGAGGGAAGAGCTTAGGACGCTTGGTGGACTTGGTGGTCATTGGTAAAGCAGCTGCGCATGTGGTCGCTGAGCATGATTCACTTGGTGAGAATTCATGATAGAACGGTCAACTGGATCAACTGTCAAGTTACCCTAACGGCAATCGCCGACCCGGAGAAGCCGCCACTGTCCATTTGTCTTTCTCTTCTCTCGTAAGGGTCCCATCACCTCCCATCAGTCGAATTCATCCTCTTTTTTTCTGCAGGTACATCCTTCCAAGTTCCTATGCAGGTATCTCACGCTAGCTTGCTAGATCTGAACCAACCAGATCGCCGTATCCTCGGACGGCGGCTATATATAAAAACAACGATGAACGGCCCGTACCTGGTATTTAGCGCCTTGAAACGACGTCGCCTATGGTGTTAAGCGCATAGCCTAGAATTTCGCTAAGAGTAAAATTAGTTTCTCTTAGCCTGGTGGATTCAATCTACTCACCCCAAGCTACCTTTCTAGAGCTCTGAATCGCACCAGTCAGTGGAGTAGCTATTTCCTGCTTCTCTTTACCTGGCGTCGGGATATCGTAATCGAACAGACAATCAATGATGCGTGATCCCCGAGTCGAAGAATTTACCGTTCCTCCGCGTCTTATAATCACCGTTGTTAAAAGCGTCGGGCCGAGCCGCGCAAAGTATTAGACGATAAGTCCGTGTGCTCGACAATAGATTATATACAATCCATTAATAATAGACTGCTGAAAGAGCCATAAAGCCCAGAGAAGCTGGAGTTTTTCATGAACCACCCGGGGGGGACCTGCGGTCGAGGCTGAAGCGCTGAAGTCTTGAACGGAGGTGCATAGCTCGGGCATAGTGAATGGTAGATATACTATCTCGCTGGGGAGGACACATTTGTTATCGTCTGCTTGAAATTGGGGAACATTCTGAGCTTATGGAAAGCACCATGGAAACAGGTGTCAGGTTTTCAAGTTTAGAGAAGTGAATGTGGCACAATTAAAGATCATCAGCTAGATGCATCATAAACCTGTCGGCTCTTGCACCTTGAAATACATCTTGTTATGGAAGCAGATATGCCACAATCTGATTTTTTAAATGTAAATTGTACTTCCCGTACTTCCAACTTCCAAAGGACCGACGGTTGCCAGATCATCACGTGATCGTGCCTATAGTCAAAGATTGGATAAAAAGTGCTTTTCAAGGAACAGTCTCAGAGTAACAGACACCAGGTAACCTCACAATTGAACGCAGTAAACTAGCTTATACGATTTCCTATGAAAGCTTAAATGGAGAAGCGCATAGCCACCGACGACTCTCAAGGAGTAAGTACTTAAGCGCAACTTGAGAGCAAGCGGGTGCTACGAAATATTGCTGCACTACCTTTTCGACTTAGTGAGTATAATATTTTGTGCGTGATCGTACACTTGAACTCTGTTTGTAGAAATAAACACACTACTTTTTTTAATTGCGTTCGAGCATGTGAGTAAGATTGAACTGGTGATACAGATGGAAGGATATTGAACGAGGGTCTCTTCCTCCAGTTGATGAGATTCCCGTAATGGTAAGAATCACTGGAATATACGCTACGTGGCCGGTCCCTACGTGGAAAAGGGACGTCGGAGAAAGAGCATTGGTAAAGACGATGACCTTGGTGTGACGTTGTTAACACCACGGAAGCAGTAGACTTAGCATAGAACTCCTTAATGAAAGTGCTGCGATCTGTGTATACATACCCGACGATGACTTAGTACATGTATCTATAGTCGTGATTGAGGTCTCCCAGCTTCTCCTTTTCTTTCTCTGTAACCTCCGGCTGCGTGTTCCTCGCTCTGCTTCTATTGGCAAATATGAGCGCGATGAGATAAGCTGCACTGGACGCCATGCTTAAGCACACAAACGCCAGACATATCGCGTATCCCTTTATATACTTCGGGCCGTCCCCCGTAGGAAACGAGAACGCAGCAATGATACCTCCAATGTTACCAAAGGAAACTTGCCATGCCGAACCCACAGAACGTCGCGTATGGCCCGCCAAGTTGGTGTTGAACCATCCGACGAGAATGGGCATGGAAGTATAAGCACCTGACGCGGCAAGAAAGAGCGCCCCGTACTTGACACTATGTCGCGACGGATCTGATAATAGTATGGCAAAACCTATAAGACAGACGGCCCCAGAGATGAAGGTGAAGAACCAGCGGTGGCGTAAACGGTCAGAGATAAAAGCTAGTGTCATAGCAAATCCGAACGCAGCCGCCCAGGGTGGAACGGAATGCAGTTGAGATTGGATGGCTAGTGAACGATTTAATTGAAAAATCCAGGTCCGCGAGAGCATGAAAGACCTACTTCCATATCCCAGTTGATTGATGATAGTCGGTGCAAAATAAGCATACCCATATGCCGGCACAATGAGTCCGAAATACATGAAACCTCCAATGATAATCTTGTCTGGTTATCGACGAATAAGCATGCTTCGAAGAAAAAACAGTGCACAAACACTGACAGTCTTTGAAAACGGCTAGAATGTCGCGCCACGTTGCCTTCTCTTGATGAGCGGAGGCACCAACATCGGCCTCCAGACGCTTCTTGACAAAGTCGCGTTCCTCCTGGCTGAGGAACTTCGCCTCTTCCGGAAAGTCGGGCAGCAAAAAGAACCACGCAATGCCAAAAAGAGCCGTGGCAAGGCCCTCTGGACGGGCATCTTACTCAGCTCTTATATCATGCCAATATACGGTCCAAGACTTACCTAGAATGAACACCCATCTCCACCCACCGTAGCCTCTTACTCCGTCCATCTTCCCTATGCCACTGGCCAACAGCCCACCGAACGCACCAGCCAAAGTCGTCGAGCAGAAAAAGAACGTATAGCGTTTCTGCGACTCTTCTCTGCGGTACCACATCGCCAAGAGGTAAAAGGACCCCGGAAACATGCCTGGCCGTTACAGTCAGCCCGACGACATCCACAGACACGCATATACCCACCTGCCTCAAAGACACCGAGAAACCAGCGCGCCGCCATGAGACCGCCAAAGTTCTGGACGAATCCTTGCAGCATAGTGACGAGGCCGAACATAGTCATGCATATAGACAGCCAGACGTGCGGTTTCAGCTTCTTGAGCAAAATATTTGAGGGTATCTCGCACAGGATGTACGGAACAAAGAAAATGACCAGGGCAACGCTA